AGCCTCCGCTACAGCTCTGTGCACTTTCATTTTCTAAACTTAATGCTCGATAGGGATCAAAAAGAAAAACGCACACAGAGAGAAAAGGAAGAGGATTAGTAATTAATTGATACGTTACCGAACAGAACACAGAAAATACCATAATACTCCTGCATAAGCTGGTGTGTTTCCATGTTTTAAATGCTTCATGCTGTTCCGCTTGCCTCATCCCAAAATAACATAATAGAAGATGAAGCAAAGATGATCAGTTTTAATGGAAGAGATTTAGAATGAGGAATAAGTAGTGTTTTAGCCTGAAAATGAGACAGCTCACTGGTGATATGACAGAAGGACACAAAACAGTACAAAGATGGACTGGGGATGGGTTGTTCACCACTTGCATAACTGAAGAGCAGTATCACAACACCTACCATCATAGGGATTGTGTTTAAAACAAACAAACAAAAAATGCTTTCACACTCCTCTAACCATAGGACTCAGTGCCACAAGATGGTCTGAAGTACCAAAGGGTTCAAAAAGCAATCTGACAAACCAGTGGTAAGAAAGTTCACCAGGGGCTACCTACCGCAGAACGAGCACAGCAAAATCCCTCTTTTGGGTGGATGCTGAGTGAGCACATTGGGACTGTCTCTACTTGTTCAGTTTTCCTGCCCTAAGCATTCTCTGTTCATCACTTGCAGTGGGATCAGAACTGGATGCACTTTTAACTCGATCAGGCCTGACTGCTGCTGTATTTCTAACCTGGTGATGTTGCTTCAGGTGTGCTCAAGCACAGCCATGCTGCAGCTCCAGTGGCACTCAGAATGTGGCACAGCTGCTGCTGGGAGGGAGAGCTGCTCACAGCCTGTAAGGCTCAAGCCCCACTGGTGTGAGCTCACACCAAATCGCCTGCACTGTTCTTCACAGGAAAGAGAAGAAAACCCCCTGCCCTGTTTGTTCCCCATGCCATAGTGCGCAGCTCATGCTCAGAGTTGCCCGACTTCTTGCTTGTAGACAGGATTAGCATGAGCACAGAGCATCCACCTGACAGACTTTGATCAGATGTGATATACCCATGTATCTCTGCCACTGGCTAAACCTCCAGCCTTAGGCTATTTGCTGCATTTTCTCCCTGCTTTAGCTGCCTTCTCTAACACATAAGGAACACGTCACGAGCCATGACAAGCAATCGAGATAAATGCCAGCCCTTGTAAAGCTTCAGAACAGAGGCTGCCTCTCTGTTCTGCCCCAGCACACTTGTGGTAGCGATCACAAACCAGCAAGGTATAAATAAACACCACAATTCGAATTTCCAAGTGCCTACAATTAAAAACAGAGTTATCTTCTGCTCCAGTTACTTGCTTCCCAAGACCTGTTACCAAATCAAGAATGCCAGCATTTAATCTATTTATTTCTGATGTTAAGCAAGAATAATTTTAATGCATTTTTATATGCCATAGAGAAGTGCACAGGCTCGTTTTTTCTTCTTAGGTCAACTTTATTATGAGAGCTTTATTCTCGTGAAATACAAATGCTTTGTAGTCAACAGCACAACTGAAGACCATCAAAACTTCAGGATTACAGGCATTAATTTTACTCCTTTTTCATTGTTTAGTTTCATTTGCAAAAAAATTACCAATGTTAAGTTCCACCTGCATGAGGGCTCTCAAGCACCCACCTACCTGCCTCCCCCTGGCTATGTGTTACTGAGTGTTACGGATGCAGCATACATTTTAAATATGAACGGGCAGATCTCCACAGCATACAGGTTTTTTATTTCTCAGATTCTGCATTTTTCCTTCAGCCATCTGCCAGTTTTATGCTTGTTCTCATACTCTTCCACTCCACAAAAAAAAACAAAGAACACCTCTGGAAGAAAAGCGCTCTCGCTCACATCTTGCAGACCTCACTTTCTGCTGATGCTGCCCACCCAGTAAGAATCTGATGCTCTGCCCTACCCTACATCAGGCTCCTGTGTCTGTCTTCATTCACAGAGCATTTTGTCAGCAGATACAGACAGTGTCTAGATCTCTGATCTGAAACAGCTGTTCCAGCCCAAGAACTGAAATAGCCGTAATTACTGCTTCTCATACACTGAATTTCTTCAACTGCTATATAGCAACACAAGTTTTATTTCACTGCTTGTTTCACCCTGATAACCAAAGGCAATGCTTCCCCTATCCAAGCACAGCAGACCTCAGAGACTGGAGTCTATTTGGCTCTCACAGAGGAGGCTGCAGTTCTCACGTGCTTGCCTAGCACTTTTATGCAACATAACACAGTGATTGTCACAATGGCTCTAGATAAGTAGTATTATAGGTTTTAACAGCCAGTTTTTCTAGTACAATTAAATCACTGGAAAGCATCTCTCTAAAGGCAGAGGTATATCCAGGAATAAGGTAATTCAGGAACAAACCGCACAGTCTCTATTTTAATTAAAAAAAAAAAAAAATTCAAGTTTTGCTCTTCCTGGTAGTGCTAGCCAGCGGTCTGGAGGAAATATTTCAAAACACTGTAATTTAAAAACCACCAAGCCTTCAAAAGCAGCACATAAACGTCTGCATAATAGCTTTGGGGTTTGCAGTGCAGACCTCAAGGAAAAGTCTCAGTGAAGGCAGGCCCTACCCAGCACCCAGACCCACCCAGCAGCAGGACGAGGGCTGCAGCCCACGCTCAGCCTGGACCAAACCAGGGCCTCCGGCCCAATAGCCATGTGCCACAGTTTTAAAGCCAAAATAAACTCTTTGTCTGAGGTTTATTTCCTGGCATTATATAGAGTCTTGGACAAGGTTAGAAGAACAATATCTTAGAAAGATCCTGTGGCTTTTAGCTCCAGAAGCACTTTCTGTGAAATACGCTTCACTTCAGCAGGCACAGCATACCACAGCCTGATTGTTTGCAGTAACTGCTATGCTGTGAACTTAACCATCAGCAATAAAATAAATAAGCGTCATAATCAACCACTCTAATTTACTCTGTTCCTACTGAAGTAAAGTCATTAGCACAAATTAGACCTTACAGTTAAGCCTGTTCTTGTAGCCGTTTATCTTTTTAACAGTTGTCCAAGATGAGGCACAAAGAAACGCACATTTCAAAAACAAGTGTGCCTGGTTTGGGCTAAGACTGTTTAAAGAGCTGACTTTCATTCAGATTGAAACTGATTTTGCTCATGTTTCCATTAACATATTAGGAAGGGCCGATCAGCACTTCAGAGCTCTGCAGGGAGCTTTGTTTATTTAAGGCTGAAATTTTTAACTAAACCATTTCTGTCTGCTCAACATGGGCTGCCATTCTACCAGCACAAGGGAGACTCCAAGAACTGCCCTGCCCCTTTCCCATTTTATACCCTGCAGCCCATTCCCAATCCATTTGCCCCAGTCCCACATCGCAGGGACAGAAGTTTACGGAGCCATCCACCAAACAGAAAACAGATGCTAACTCAGGTTAAAACAAACTCTTTTAGGGAAAGGAGCTTGTCTTCACAAGCAGTTGCGGTAATAACATTTGCCAAAAGAACTAAAGATGAGATGTAGAGACAGAGATTTCTTGGAGCTGTATAACTGCTAAGTAAAAGCTTTGTGGAACCATACACTTGACCCATTTTACAGCAAAACAAAAGGAATCTTTCAATCTCCCCTTAAAATACCCTGTTTTTTTTTCCTGCACTGAACCAGAGCAGAAGCATTTCCACTTTCAGCCATCATAATTCAGGTGGGACTGGGCTGGCAACAAGTGAGGACAGCAGCAGAGGGCTGCTGACATTGCTAACTACCACAGCAGCTTCAGAAGCCAAGTGATGATACTCAGAGAATTATGCAGCTCTGAATTCACATTTACATGTAATTGTTTTCTGTGGATTTACAGGTAACCAAGGATGCAACCTATGGGTATTTCTATTTCTGGCCAAAGATGCATCACACTGTCTGAAATCTTCTTTCAATATGGAAGTATTTGCAGATATACCAGCCACATCTTCTGGTGCCTTGAGTTTACAGTGCCATTTTGTCCACAGTGGTGTGTTGCATATAATAAGTTTTTGTTGTACTTGCAAATAGCAGATAGACAGACGGATACAGATCCTATGACACCATATCATTAGCAAGTCAGAAAATAGCTCAAAGTGCAAGATCTATTACCTCAATTTCTAGCAAAATCACTGAAGTCACAAGAAATGCTCAGTGAAATTACTCCCAAGGACCTCTAAGGCTTTGGGAACATGCCAGTAATTTAATTCAACTCCATTTCTGTTTTGCTCTGGCAATACATTCATCTCTCCCTTTGCCAAAGGCAGTTTGCCCTGACTGCACATTAACAGGCAAAGACACCTGAGAGTTAACCCTGTAGAGGAGCAGGTCTGCTCACATAGGTTTGGTTAGTTACTATGCAAAGCCAGGGAAATGGCTGTTCTGATGAACACTGATAGAGGTGAATGACCACAGATTTCAGTACGTTTACACTCTATCAAGAGCACATGCTGTAATGCTCGTATTCTCAAATTTTCAGTTACATTTCCCCTTTCTGGCTTCATAACAGAATTGCTGCTATAGTCATTTGGGTGCATCAGATAAGTCCTCAGGAAAGAAAGCCCTCATGCACAAAGTTGGCCTTTTGCTTAAGATAAGGAAGTGCACCTGATCAGGCAAGTAAAACACAGCACAGATGGCATGAGATGCCAGGCCATACAACAAACACAGGGAATTTATCAACTTATTTGTCTGCTATAAAGTGCAAAGCCAGAGGTAACAACTACATTAGCTAGCAAGAGATCTGCATTCAATTCAAGCATAGCACTTGTATTTTACCAGCAAGGCCATTAGATGTGATGGGAAGAAAAGCTAAACTTCACTCAGTGAAGAACTGTACAGTGTCCTGTATGCAGATTCTCCAGTGAGGAGGATCTGGGGGGAATGAGCTCCATCTTTGCTTCCCAATCTTAATAGGACAGCAACAAAAATATAAATACTTTAACAACAAAAGGGAGCAATGTTATACAAACCTCTCCAAAGTCCAGTCTGACTCACCTGACTTCCTGGCTTTCAAGGCAATGACTGCAGCCAGCTCCCTCTGAACCTAGAATACCAGGATAGGAAGCGATGGTTACTGATATGCAGTAGAACAAAAAAAGCAACCTTGGTAGGATACAGAGTATCAGTATTTTGGAGCAGTAAACTACAGGTGGGATTACGCAGAAAGTCTCAAAACTGCAGTCACTTTTCTAGGAAATCAACTTCTTTTTTTTCAGCTGGGAATCCTGTGACAATGATTTTGTTTCAATCTTAATTTAATGTAAATATTGCACCTTTCTTAGGGAATGGCTAATTCAGTAGCTTGACATGCAATTTATTTGTGCAGCATATCTCCTTCACAAGCACACACTTAAGGCTTCTTCCTTTCCTTCTCAAATGTTTATTTGCTCTACTGAGCACCCTTGTAGCCTTGGACTTCTGCATGACTGCAGCACAGGCACATTGCCCATGCTGGGGTTTGGCTAAGGTTCGTGGATATAACTGACATTCACTTTTGCAGCCTCGAGGAGGGAACAACTCTCCTATCTGCACAACTGACCATTTCAGGACCAAAATTTAGCTCCTATTTCTGCACGTTCACCTGCAGCTATCTCGTTTTCAAGCTGTCTTACCAGGATGTGATGAAATGACTGCCACACCAGCCAAGTCCTTCTCTCAGCTTCTTGTCTCTGCTTTTCTGCATTCCCTCTACTTTCCATATAATCTCTATGCTACCAGACACAGTTTTCTTTAGCCACCTCAATCCTAAAATCTTTTCCTTTAAAAAAAATATAATAAAAAACTAGTAAATTTCCACATTATGCATATTTCTTTTATTCTGTATACTTCTCACTACCATCACCTATCTCCCTGCAGCTGCCTCGAGTGCCTTGAGGACACACAGAACCCCAGGTGCTCTCCTGCATACACCATAATGCTTCCCTCCCTCTGCCACATCCAATTCTCCCAGCTCCCCTTGTTTCCCAAAGCAGCCTGTCCTGAGAATAACAAAAGAATGGTGGGATGCTCCAACAGCTTTTCTGGGGATTGTCTTATCTCTGTGCACAAAGCGTCTTGCATGGCACGCTAGCTGTTTTGTCTAACAGACCTGTGTACAGCTCAGGCTATTCTGAAGTGGGAGTTTTGGAATATGATTTCTAAAAGGATGCAAAATTTAAAACATCATTTGCAAGACATGGTGTATGACCAGAACTATGCCCATGAAGAGCCCCTGTAGTAGCACAGTCAGTAACAACAGTCTATATCCCATTCACAACACTGAAGAAAAGTTTAAAACTGTAAAACCAAAATAATCCATGCTATATTGCTCTGAGCAGAAAGACAGACTGCAGTGGTTACCGTGAGAAGACAAAACTGCATGGGACATGTCAGGACAATGGTAACCCTGCATCCGCTGATCACACAGCTGCCACCCAGCAGCCTGCTCCATGTGGGGCAGAAAGCAGTCATACCAGAGGCCACATCCTTCCTTCCCTTATAGCAAAGGAAGTGACAGATTTTTTGCTGTCTTTGCAAGGTACATGGATCTTTTCTACTCCTTGCTGCTGCCCCACAGAAAGGGACCTACTTTTCTGCTGCTCCAAGCAGGAAAGTATGAAGGCAGTGCCACAGATCTCTTAAACACTGTCCTGTTTCCAGCACAATAGTGCAAGCTGGCAATATCACCTTCCCTTCCTTCCTTCCTGTATACTCATTCCCACGTCTGGAGAACTATTAATCACGTTTAATACAAGCACAAACTGCAAGCATGATAGGAAAGAACTTTTTTTTTTTTTTTTTTTTTTTTGCAAAACAACTTGCATGCTTACTTGCAACATTTAATATACACAAGTAATAACACACAAGCTATCCAGAGAGATTTTACATAAAAGCCCAAGCCTTTTCAGAGTAACCAATAACCCCACCAGCACTTGTCTTGGATAAACCGCTCAGACCTCGTGCTCTTTGTTAACCTCAACAGGAGGTACCAGTGTCAGTGCCCCAGGTGCAGACAATATGAAATAGTGCATGATGACTCATCTTTATCTTTATTTTTTAGTGTTTAAAAAACATGTTATCTCAAGATAAGCCTTACGAGACATAACAATCTTCAACAGTTGTAAACATACCAATTAATTAATCCAATCAAACAGAATTGGAAAAATGCAAATCTCTTTGTGAACATTAAAAAAAAAAAAAAAAAAAAAAAAAAAAAAAAACACCACCTTCCTAGAAACAGGAGAAAAAGCAGCACTGAAGTATCCTGCTATTCTATGCACAGTATTACTTTCTCTTACAAGGTAGAACTTTATAAATTTGAACAACAGTGTTATCATCACAGGCAATAACAGCACCACTTTTCTGAATTTTCTCTATATTAAGCAAAATATCTTGTTGGTTGGTATGTGCTGAGAATGTAGCTGGCGTTGAATTTAATCTGAACAAAATCTTTAACCTAAAACAGGGGGGGGAAATGTCCCTTTAGTCTTAGTATTAAGCAAACACTCCTTCCTCAAAGGGTTTCACCCTGTCAGTCTGAGCTCCCTCTCATAGGATTCACTTCAGTCAATAAGAATTGGTACTGCTAAGCATCCTTTTAAATTTGTCTGGTGTCCCTAGATTTCATAATCTATATGCTTTTGTCTACTTTAGCGTAAATGCACTTGACATCTCCGCTGGACATGCAATTCCTATGCATCATTACACCAAAGGAAATCAGTGTACAACATTCAATCCTCACTGCACATATGCCACATATTATCATACTTCTTCCTAATAGGATTTCAGTTACGGCCTGTTTGACAAAATCAAGTCCCAAATCACATTGCAGATAATAATCTAGACTCAAAGTAAAATATATATTCAAACAAGAGCTATGCCTACCGTAATAAATGGAGATATTAAATACAAAAAAAAAAAATTGTTTATACATGTAGCTTGTCACTACAAAGTGAGCACTATCTAAATACTATCCCAATTTGAGTAGCGATGCAGATGTCAAGACCGATTCAGTCTTAAAGACTAGCTCACCACATTGTATTTACAGAAATATTATTCTTACAGTCAAAAGAGAATGTCCTGTGCATGCACCTTGCCACATCTTATTCAGTTTTCCTTTTGCAATAAGAAAGAGCAAGAGTATTCACATGGAGTGGTACCCACATGTATGCCTGCTTCCTCAAATACAAGCAGTAAATTTATATGGTTAATCTTCTCATCCTCAAAAGACAAAAGATGGCTAAAAAAAATGTAGAGTTTAATTCACATTTTTGTACCTCAAGTAATGACAGTATGACGGACTCCAAATAAATGCAGTACCTGGATGTCTTCTTCTTAAGGTACCAGGAAACTGTATTTCCCAGATGCACTGCATTAACATCTCAGTGTGCTCTTTTACCTTATCACAAAGTGATGCAACAAAAACACTCAGAAACATCTCGAAGTGCGCTGGTTTTAACAGACAGTGCTACAAGGCCTTTTAGATGCAGCTCCTTCTTTGGGACATGACATGGAATTCACTGCAGCTCTGGAATGCTTCTTTAAACCCAGGAGTGTTCTTTACATTTTTCCTAAATACTTACTGCAGTGGAGTATAAAACAAGAGCATGAAGCTCAATAGGTTCTATTCAGTTACCTGCACTGACTCTGCTTCTTCCACTGTAGAGTAACTTGCAAAGAAAAACCAACACATGACCAAGTTAGTTTCTTGTATTTCGTACCCGACTGCTCTTAAAAGAGATGTATTCCATGGATTATGTACAAAGATGAGAAAAAAAAACCTCTGCAGTTTTCTCCAATTGCTCTTCTGATTTGTATCATTCACCACAGTCACTCTTATCTTCTATGATCTCCCTAGTCATTGTTTAAAACTAAGAGCGCGTTTCCTTGCCTAACCATTTCAACTGGGTGAGTCATCCTAAAACACACAAATTGTGCAGTGAGAGAAGTAGAGTTATGCAAAAGAAACAACACCTGGTAACAAAGAATATTAGGGAGTAATAAGAGAAAGGCCAACAAAAAAAGCCAGACTGCAGTAAAATAAAAAAGGTGAAATGAGGAATTCACCAACCTTGTGCAGGTTTCTGTGCCAGTCACTATTCCCTTTACAGAGAGTGAATGCATCACCATTACAGCTTAAGGCATGACTGCTTTTTGTAAAAGCAGACTTCCAAAATAAATCACACATTCAGCAGCCTAAAAATGCCTATTTCTCCTCCCTGGCTCTATGGAATGCCTGGGGAAACTGGCTCAGGGGTAGATGCTTGCCACATGGCCACTTGTATTTAGGTGAGGTGCATTCTATCCTTTGCAACAAAAAAGCTTTAGCATGGATAGAGAGGTACACAACTAGACCTTAAGTGCACCCACGCCTACAAGTTCTCTTTGCACTTTCCAACACTAAACCAATGATTTATACGTTAGGCACAGAGACCCCTTGGTTGGGGAGATCTTCCCAATCAGTTCATATACTTAAATTAGGAAATTCAATCTCTAAAAAAAAAAAAAAACAACAAAATCTGGCACAGGAACATCCTTCTGACCTGACACAATGTTTTTAATCTGTTACAGGAAAGACAAAGAGAAAGCAGAGGAGACAGCAGTAGTATTTGCAGGCTGTTTTCCCCTATTGCCTGATGGGATTTGAATCACTGTACCTAGAAACGGGTGAAAAAGTAAAATTTAATCTCCAGCTGCTTTAGTGCTGAGCTGCAGGCAAGATTCTTCACTTCTGGAACACTAATCTGAAAAATACTGTGAGCAGATTCTGAAGTACAGATTCTTCAAGTAAGAGCGGTTTAATTCTGTACAGAATACAAGAATATTCAGTGAACCAAAAAAGAATACATTGCAAGCAAATTTCCAGTCATGACCCTCATGGTTGGCTTCCTTCTCCAGCTCATAGGGCTCTTTTCCAAGAAAAAAACATAGAGAACCTATATCCTGATGAGGACAGCATCCTGCTGAACAGTGAAAGCTGAGGGTTCAATTCCCCTTGAAGCACATGAAGGCTCACGATGAAGCCTTAAGAAGAATATTAGATCCCAGACTACTGGATAGAGGAAATGGAGTAAAGCAATATTACAGATTGTATTCCAGCTTCCCTTAGAGGGAGAAGTTAATATGTAAATGTTAACTTTTCATAGAATCATAGAATCACCAAGGTTGGAAAAGACCTAAAAGATCATCCAGTCCAACCATTCACCTATCACCAATAGCTCCCACTACACCATGCCCCTCAACACAACATCCAGTCTTGAGGTCATTTGAGGTATTCTGCTCTGTTCTCAGGCTTTTTGTCCAGAGTTGGACTAGAAAATTGATACAGAGAGCCTGTACAAACAAAAAAAAAAGCAGAAAAAAAAAAAAAAATCAGTTGTTTTTGACACCACACCATGCCAGTGAATGGGCCTCAGGCCATCTGCAAATGCAATTGCCTAATTTTTTTTCAGTTAGTTAGCTGCAGTGGTAAAACAGCTCATTAAAATAAAACAATATTGAACATACGTCTTATTGTTGGAATCACCAAGGATGCAGTTCAAAGGTTTGCCCTTGCAAGATAGATGAGAAGCACTCTGAACTCAATGTCAATTACTCAAATGCTTAGAGATGTGCATTCTCCTCCAACGTGTCCATCAACAGTTCGTTCCATTGCTCTCAACATGTTTTGCTGAGGGAAAACACATTCTTTTAGTTTTGAGAGAGGAATCTTTTGATGGGTACTGGAAACACTCAATCAAGAAAGTGTTTTGGGGTTTTGTTTGCTTTATTGTTGTGTTGTTGCTTCTTTTGTATTTTTCTTTTTCTTTTTTTTTTTTTTTTTAAGATGACTTTGCAGTAAGTATGTTTTCCTATTTTTTTACTCCAAGTAAATTAAAAATGGAGGAAATCAAGTTTCTGAGTTTCTGATTCTTTCATTTTTAGTGTCAGAAAAAAAAACAATAAATTTGAATATAGGGACAATAAAAAATAAAGAACAATTTACAAACAGAATCTTCTAACCTCATAATTTTGCACAAGGTGTTGAGCAAAGAGAATTGCTGCCTTCCCACATTTTTGTAAATATCTTTTGTAAAGACATTTGTCTTTAAAAAGCTCAGCACAAATTTTCTTTCCTTTCAATTTTTCAGAGTTTTCAACACACCCACTTGAGTCATTTTTCTCTTCCTTGCTTTCCCCTAGACTATTGCTGTGCTCCATTTGATCAAGAAGATCTGAGTGCAAACTAGCTGGCAGAAAAATGAGCGTGATTCTCCAAACTGATATTTCCTGGGCCATGAATAGCATGGATTATAAGAGAGCAGAACTGCAGTCCTTCCTGGGACTGATTTTAACAGCTGTCTAACACACTAAGACTCTAATGGAGCTTCCTCCTTTTAGGGCCAAAAAAAAAAAAAAAAAAAAAAAAAAAAGAGTTTGCATTACAAGCACCTCTTCACTAAGACTTGCTTCTTTAATTTGAAAAGATCCAAAACATGACAGTATTTCAAACACGATCAGTACAAACTTTGATGCAGTGACCTTACCGCAGAAGTGAGACGAGCAAGAATTTCAGCATTGGTTTCTGCTGTATCTTCTATTTTTTGATCAGGCCTTAAAAAACAAAAATAAGATTATATTATTTCTTTCATTCTGTTTCAACATCTTTTGATTTCTGAAAAGCACAGAGCTATGTGGCCAGAGGCACTACTGTAAAAGGGCTTTTGAGATTCTACATCAAAAAGATGACTGCAACGTGACAATAATTAATTGTGTCAGTAACTACAGAGCACAGCCTTTGTACCTTGCTGTCAAGAACTTTTGTGATTGGATTGACGTAAATCAATGAGAGAATTCTTCAGCTATAAAAACATGATGAAAAACTGAAGAACACAGGACATTCTTAACTCAAAGTTGCTTATCATAGAATCATAGAATCATAGAATCATAGAATCACTAAGGTTGGAAAAGACCTAAAAGATCACCCAGTCCAACCGTTCACCTATTCCCAATAGCTCCTACTAAACCATGTCCCTCAACACAACATCCAGCCTTTCCTTGAACACCCCCAGGGTCGGTGATTCCACCACCTCCCTGGGCAGTCCATTCCAGTGCCTGACCACCCTTTCTGAAAAGTAATACTTCCTCATGTCCAGCCTGAATCTCCTCTGCCGTAGCTTGAAACCATTCCCCCTGGTCCTATCACTAATGACACGAGAGAAGAGGCCGACCCCCAGCTCACTACAACCTCCCTTCAGGAAGTTATAGAGAGCAATAAGGTCTCCCCTGAGCCTCCTCTTCTCCAGGCTGAACATTCCCAGCTCCTTCAGCCTCTCCTCATATGGCCTGTGTTCCAGACCCCTCACCAGCTTTGTTGCCCTTCTTTGAACACGTTCCAGGGCCTCAATATCTTTCTTGCAGTGAGGGGCCCAAAACTGGACACAGTACTCGAGGTGCGGCCTCACAAGTGCTGAATATAGGGGAACAATCACCTCTCTGCTCCTGCTTGCAACACTGTTTCTGATGCAAGCCAGGATGCCATTGGCCTTCTTGGCCACCTGGGCACACTGTCGGCTCATGTTCAGCCGAGCATCAATCAATACCCCCAGGTCCATTTCCTCTACGCAGTCCTCCAGCCACACCGCCCCAAGCCTGTAGCGTCGCCTGGGGTTGTTGTGGCCGAAGTGCAGGACCCGGCATTTGGCCTTGTTGAAACTCATCCCATTGGCTCCAGCCCAGCTCTCCAGCCTGTCCAGATCCCTCTGTAGGGCCTCGCTACCCCCAGGCAGATCCACACTTCCAGCCAATTTGGTGTCATCTGCGAATTTACTGAGGGTGCACTCGATGCCCTCATCGAGGTCATCAATAAAGATATTGAAGAGGACATATGCATTATGTGAATGCATATTTTGCTGTGCTAAAAACCTGCCATCAGCAGAGCAAAGTCTTGCATCTGCCCACCAACCAGCTTTCCTCAAGTGTGGAGAAGCACCTTTAATGGTACACACACTTGCACAGATAAAAGCAGGCAGCATCAAAATTACTATGGGGCAGGTGCAGTTTGATACTGATGAAAAAGTAAAATTGAAAAGAATAAAGATAAGAAGCCATAAATTAGCAAACTAAAGTAACAGCTGAGAACACTGTTAGGTTGCAATGACAGTAGTTCACAAAACAGAAAGAACTGATGTGTCTTCACAAAAATGGGGCAGTGCATGATCAACCCTTTTAGAGGCTGTCACAGAACTTGCACATGTGGAAGAAGCCACACTGACACTGCTGTGGGATTTTGTCTTTATTTTGTATTTTGTCTTTATATTTTGTCTTTAAAACAGCCTAATTCTCACCAGTAAACTACCTGTGAGCCTTTCATAAGACTTACAGACAATCAGAATATTGTCAACCAAGGATACAAGTACGATAGGGTTACAACTGGGGAAAGAAGAAAAGGACATCTTTTACTTTTGACAGTTTTCAAGAAGCATGGCATGCCAGCAAATTGAGCAGATATGCATAACTGCAGCTGCTGTACTACACATAAATCACTGCTATTAGCAGTTCCTTCTGTCTTTGGCTCAATTATTTAATTGCTCATATGCCTTGATGTGTTTAGAGAGATTACTGACAAGATGTCTGGAATACACAGCTGGAGCATTTGTTGTTCTTACAACCCATGTCCAAAAATTTCTTTCCCTAATTAAAAAAAATTAAGGTCAGAAAGCATTGGATGACACATGCATTCATCCTCTGGCAAGCATATTCAAATCAAAAAGGTAATCTGGATTAGAAAGCACCATCATTATCACAACTACCTTTCCCATTGAAAGAAAAAATGTGATTTAATGATTTAAGTGTTATAAAAAGCCCAAAATAAATAAATAAAAGTTTGCATTCACTGATTTATTCAGTTTCTCTCTTCCTAATTTGGAATGAGAACAGTTGACCACTGTCTATACCTACATTTCCCTGCACATCTGATCTCTTCTGATCCCCCCAGAACCACGACGGGATGAGGTTTTTCTAAATGGGTGGCAAAAGACAGCAGCTCTATACACAGCCACAGATACAGTTCATCAGAAAAGCACTTAACACAGCTATTTCTATCTTGGGTTTTTTTTATCTCTTCATCTTCTATGTTAAAATGTTCCCCATACTCATCCGCATATGAGCTTCAAATTCTTATGAAAACATTAATGCACTGAAAATTGTAGCCAACTTTCCAGGATTTGAGAGGAAGATTGTATTTTGATATCCAAGCTAATGAAAATATAGTAGGGCTGGTACTGAACAGAGACAAAAAGCCCATGTAAACAAGTCTAATGACTACACTGCTCAGTCTTGGCATACTTGGACAGAGCAACACACAGGAATGCTTGCCCCAGATCTGCAAACAGGCAGGTCAGATCTGCACAATCACTATCATGCACCACATGGAAGCAAATGCATTGCTTCCCAAGCTGCTGACAGAGGAAGTGATACAGCTGTGCTTATGATCCCATGCCTGGACAGTACCTCAAATATCCAATGTAGAGCCACAACCTATGCTGTATGCTGGGTGTACAATCTACCTACAATGCAAATAAAAGACCCAGGGATACCTAAGAGTTGTCTCCATTCAGCAAAAGCTTTCCAGGAACCCCAAGGGCACTCACTAAATGGATATCCCATCGTGGGTATCTGTATTAAAACCAACCTACCCATAAAAGGGGCTGCTTTTCCAAAGTTAATAAAACATATATTATTTTTGGACAGCAGATACAGAATATAGTGTAAAATTTATGAAAATAAAATAAAAAACAATGTAAAGGGGAAAAATCCCATTTCTAATTTTTCCTTCAGATAACTACAAAAGTACTGTTCGTTCCAATAGTCCAAGGCATCCAATGTGTTCTGGCACCGGGAATTAGGTGTCGTTATAAACATCTACATTTGCAAAGAAGGAAGTAGAAGCACATAAAGATTAAATGTCTGATACAATGCCACTGCAGTCACTGGGAAAGAATTCAGGAGGCACTGAATGAGAGCCTAGGTGACTGCTCAAGGCTGCAAGGAAGTCCATGGCAGAGCTCTGAATACAAATCTTTTGTTCCCAGGTTAAGCCAACATTCACTTATTTTCTATTCAAGCTGAATTTGGCCATGATTAACATTGTTTAATGACCCCAAGAGGCTTCAACATCAGTCTCACCTCATCTGGCAACATCTACAGTGGCTCAACACTGAGAACACATGCAACAGCATGCTCCTGGGTGAGAAGACCCGTGGTGCTCCTGGGATTCACCAGTGTACCTGTCAACCCAGGCAAGCACAGTACCTTTGCTGCCCATCAGCATCTGCAGAGATAGAGCTTGTTGAGCACCTGGGCACAATGCAAGAAGCTCAGCACTGTATCCTGGTGCACAAGCAGGAGGTCACTGCTCATTTCATCAAAAGCAAGGAATGATTAACACAGTAATAATGGCCCTCTCCCTATAAACACAGGGGAAACCAACAATGCAGACTAACAGAAAAATGAATACAAAAAATTAAGGTAGAAAAAGACAGTGCTAAAGGTATCAATAACAACTATATGTGTATTTCGTAAGATAAACACTTACTGCAAGAAAAGGTTTTTAGAATTGCCTTCATTAAAAGAAACACATCAGTTTATTTAACTTGGTGGGATGACTTTAACACAGATCTCATCACATCTATTCACTTTCAGGTTGTGTTCTAGCAGTTCATTATGTGCATGAGACATAGAGAATTTTGAAACTGGAAAACCCACCCTTCCCTTTTAGTATCACCTTCCCTAGAGACTGTAACACTACTTAACATTCAGTTCCTTCAATATGTACTTTAAAAAAAGCACCTCTTCAATCTGACAGGTAAAATCTCCAGAAAATAACTCTTCAGTGACAACATTCCCAAAAGGAACCCAGCTTTGACTAAAATTTGAATAATGCAAGCTGGAAGGAGCTGGAAAGGTACATTAAAGAATAATTGTTCAATTTATGTGACAGGGACCATCCTCCACAAGAAATGCCTGTTACACTGAAATGATGAAAGAGCAAAGTTGGCATTAAAATGGAGGAACTCTGGCCAAGGTCAGCATGCCTGGCACATTTTTAACTTGAACCTGAAAAGTCTCGAACCCATTCTTTTACCCAGTATCCTTTAGGTAACATGTCAGTATGAACTATCTGATTTGCCTTTTTGAGTCAAAGCCTTTCTACAAGTAGTCATGAACCATGACAAGTGGCCTCATTTGCAGTGATAATGAGGAAACCCATAATCCCCACTGAAATCAAGATGAAATAGCCCTGATTATTTAAGGAATAGCCAAATTGTTTACTACTCAAGTAGACTGGATGACAAGAATTTCTGTTTCCAAAACTATTCAAAGGTTTTGATTCACATGACTCACCTGCTTAGAAGATCACACTCAAGTAGGGGCTTTTGCCAATTTATGGGTTTTGTCCCTTGTCAGAGCTCACTCAAGCTGACCAAATAAATTCATTTTCAGAGGAAGCCTCACTCTAGAACTGTCAGTTTCTGGTCATGAGGGCAGTCAGCTACAGGAGCAGTGATCAAGATTCTGCCTTGAGCCACATACAGAAGTTACTGAGTTCTTTTGCAATCAGCTCACAGCATTTAAGACACAGACAGAATGCCTGAATTTAAGAAACTGGGCTTGAGACATTTCCAGACACTCTGCACTTACTGGTCTTTTAAATTATTTCTGTTAGATATTTGTTTGAGAAAGTGCATTTTTAGTATCTACTACACAGAGAAGGAACATTTTGTTACCAAAAAAAAAAAAAGTTTTGTATCTGGCATTAAAGAGAAAAGAAAATCATTCTGCTGCCAAAGTAAGAATTCTCCACAGCTTAAGTATCATGTTTGAGGCTTCATCACACTAGGGACAATGAAAGAATTTAACCCCACTCATCTACTCTGGCCAGCTCCTGCAGCTCTGCCAAGGCATGAGGGGTCATGAGCCTCCAGACCTCTCACTGACGCCTTTTTCTGCATTTTGGCCTCTCACTGGGACACAAATAAGTATGGTTCTTTCTAGCTGCTGTAAATAGACAATATTTAGTATGCAGCTATTTTAGTGCAGAAGGTATGTTAACATCCCATGGTGAATTCAAGGGTTGCTGAACTTCCACTACTCCTCCTCAAAGGAAGAGAGAGAGAAAATAATGTGGAAAAGGTCTTGATGATTGAGATATGGACCAGGATATCATTCATCAGTTACCATCAAAGGCAAAACAGACTCAGCACAAGGAGATTAATAAAGATTATTGCTTATTAATAATAGGCTAGAGCAGTGAGAACTAAATGCAAATCAAAACCACCTCCCCTTCATCCACTCCCTTCTACTTCCTCACCCTGGCAGCACAGGAGAACGGGGAATGGAGGCTGCACTCAGTCAATAATACTTCATTTCTGCCACTCCTACGGGAGTACCCATGGGCTGCAGATCCTTCAGCCATATCCACTGCTGCAATGTGCATAGAGGAGTTCTCTCGTTGGGCTGCAGGGAACTTCTGCTCTGTGCCTGAAGCACCTCCTGCCCTCCTTCTGTACTGAACCTGGTTTCTCCCACATTTCTTACTACATTCCTACAGCTACGGTGCAGCATTCACTCTTTCTTAAATATGTGCAACCAGCATTGCTCATGGCTCAGCCCTAGCTAGCAGCAGGTCCCTTTTTTGCAGCAACTGGAACTGGATCTGAGCTGACACGGGAATTTCTGGGCTCTGCTCAGAGGCCATCCCTGTGTCTCTTCCACTACCAAATCCCTGCCATGTAACCACATACATATCCACGAGTCAGGTGAAAGAGAAGAAACAGGAAGGGAAACTCTTAAATTAAATATATAAGAGATAAAAACGTGAGACAACAGAGCTCTGACAAACATGCAGTAGCAAACTAAAAACAGATGACTGAAGCTACCATATTCCTACTCATCCACTCTATCCATCTGCTAGCTGAGCCTGATCCAGGACAAGGGCATCTGAGCTGCCAGTCAATTTGCTTCACAGCATGCTTGCTGACAAATTAGTGCCATACTTTCAAATGCAGGAGGAAACACCCCCAAAAAATAAAGCAGCTTGTGTAGGTAGTATAGCAAGCAACAGTCAGCAAGGTAATATATAAGAACCACAGTATCTAAACAACACCCAAGAGAAGTACTGCCGTTTATCCAGTACCACTGATTTTCTCAGATGCTAATCACAGTGCAGATCACAGAGAAGCCCATCTCTACAAAGCTTCCCAAGCCTGAGTAATAGAAAGCTGGCTCATTTGCACAGCGGCCTGATGGTACATAGTGTCATTGACAAGTCAGCTGTTTACAAAACAGTCTTAAGTTTAAAACAGATGTAGATATCTACTTACAGATTGCACATGTCGATCCTGGGAGGAGACAATGGCAGTAGTTGAAGTAGGAGCTTTACAGCGTTCTTCCAACCTCCTTCCTTCTCAAATTCACAGAAAAGGTAGGTACATTCATCCGCTGAGAACTGGTAGAAACTATAAGTGTCTCGAAAATAGAGTTCTCGGTCCACTGTTAAAAAAAAAATAACATTAGATTAAACTTCTACCACATAAAGGTTCTGTGTTCCCAACTTATACTATATTGCGGGGCTTTAATCCTGAGTTGCAACACCACACAGGTCCGAAAGGATCACAAACAGCATAGTAGCAATCCTTTCTTCTAGCATTAATTTAGTATCCAAACAAAACAATTCTAAAATCTTAGCATGTAGATCTTCAGGCTCCTGATATTGAAACTTTAAGATTGCTGATTAATCAATTTTGGAATCAGTTTGGAATGAGGAGATATGGCTAGAAGATAAAAACATTTCATTTGTCAAATTTTTAAGCCTCAATTTCCATTAGCTTCTAATATGTTCTTGCTAATGGCTAGGCACTTGTGAACAAAATTCAATAAACCAAATGAAAAGAATACACCAGGCTAAAAAGCAACAATAAAAAATTCTAAGTTTAAGAAAAAAAAAGTTGAAATGATTTCATGATGAACATCTTCACAGCACATTCATAAACTCACAGCTTTTAATGGTAATAACCTAATGCTTAGTCTATCATTATCGCAGTCCCTGCTAGAACTCAAGGGTTCTGTAGAATAGTCTTGAGTAGGATAATGTAGCAATACAAACAGCTGTCATCTTCTCTGGCATATCTGCAATTAAACTGGGCTCAAATGACAGGTTCCACAGCCAAAAGAGGGAGTTCCTACTGAGAGTGTCACTCAACTCTTGCCAAGGCTGCATTATCAGACATACTGTCAGCGCAACTGCAGTAGGATAAAGCCTTTAAGCATACACTGAGTGTCAGCTTACATATGGAGAAGTCTTCAACAACAACCTCGTCCTCTTGCACGGAGGAAAGGGAAGTGTCTAGCACAAATCCCTGAATGCACCACACTGAGAATGCACCAAGCTACCCAAGTGGTGCCATCAGGAGTGGAGTCTGTCAGATTTCCAGAGGCTGCTTACCAGTGCTATTGTCACAAACCACATAATCTGGACCAGACCCCTAAATTTGGAGGGGAAGGAGAAGCAAGTGGGTAGAACCTGGAACCACAATTTTCTCCAGGAGCTCAATCTTCTCACAACCTGTTGTTTTTCACAGATTAGAATACAGAGTGAAAGGGGAAATCACTAACTGCCAGAGAAGTCATCTGGTGAACTGGTGATCTGCAGAGAATAAACAGCTGCTATCTTATGAAAAACCAGAAAGGATGAGGATGAAAAAATAAATAAACAAACCAGAAGAGACACGCACACTAATTGCAACTTGGCAATAGGCAATTATGTTTACAAAAGGATAAGTAAGGAACTTGCCTGAAAAGAGAGATCCATCTTTGGTATTTATGAAATAAAAGGTTCACGGAGGCAGGCCTACCAAGCAGGTAGTAAAATAAGAAAGTGTAGTAATTAAAAATTGACCTGCTTTTTTTCCCCCTTCTTCCACTCCCACAAAAAATGTGATTATTACTCTATGCAGAAAAAGAATCAATAATATTCCTTACTTACAAATATTGTCACACTGACCTGATAATATAATGCCCATATCCAGAAGCAGCTGCCACACTCCAACTGCAGTAGATCTGCACTTAACAAAAGGGCAGTGCTCCAACAGCCAGTCTACCAGTTCTGATCCAACACAGCTTCTCCTGAAAACAGACAAAGCATTAATGTAGTATAAGAGTCAATGTTCAAATGCTGTTCTATAATAGAGGTTTCTTTAGTTTCATAGAGGTAATCCTCTTGCTCAGCAGAGCAAGCCCTTTGTCTCAATTACTGCTTTTTGCAACCCTATTCACCTCAAGGAATGAAATTATTCTGGCATGTCTCAGCAGAATGCCCCCAGTTACAATGATGAAACTCGTGTCACATTAGTAAGTTCCCTTACGTACCTAAATCATACCTAAATCATGTGGCAACCTTCACAATATAGAATATTTTTATCAATTTGTGCTACATACAGATAGTCATCTGGAAATGTGTAAGAGCTACATAAGATCCTGAGCCTAAAAGCTGGATCTTATTATATTTCAGAGCAGTCATAAGCAATACAACCAAACAATATCTGTGTAAGACCTTGAGTGTTGCTCTAGGAAGTGCTTCATCTTCCATATGATTGGGAAAATTCTCTTTTTAATTCATTTTGAAAAAAAAATCATGGCTTTTTCTTAAATATATATACACAAATGGCGTTATAATAGCAACACATATTTTAGTATAATTGAAAATAGGAGGAAGCAATTATTCCGTAGTGTAACACAAACTGAAAAATCACTGTACTACAGAAATATTCCATAAATTATATGCAAAAATCACTGTGTACATAAATCCTAGGAATCTAATTAACTGCTTCTACAACATCAGATCAGGGTTGAATCTAGCATTCTTTTCAGCAAGTAACAAACAGGGTTGTATATGAATCTATAAGCAATAAATTCATAGACAAGTCAGGCCACTGCTGCTTTCTGACACCTGAAAGTGTAACATGAGGAAAAAATGTAAAAGTACATTTTTTAACAATTAAATATATGTATATATTTGTAACTTCTTGGTAAATCACACAAGACCTTACGCTCAGAATTTAATTTCTTATCAAATCAGGACATGGACAAATGTAAGTAAAAGCCAATCCAGTAGGTTAAAATGAATGACTTCAGGTTACCTGCAAATTCCAGTAAGGTACACCCTGTCTTTAATCAGATCAGAAGCTTGTAGTGTAAAAATATTCCTGAGAGCTCTCCCAGCGCAGGAGGAACTTTCTCCATAAATCTGAATGAAAAGAGAAATTGGGAAGTGTGACAAATAGGGATTTATTCCCATTGTAGCAAAGTCCTTTTGGCACGGCCTGCTCCCTCCTTCTGAGTAATGCCTTCTCCCTCGGTAAACGACAAACAAACTATCAAAGCTTCATAGGAAATGCACCCCAACTTCTACCATATCCAGTCTTATTACTAGCTGCAGATGCCCCCATGAGCTGCAGATATGTTCAGAGTAAAACAAATGTTATTCTACAGAGTCAGAATGACTATTAACCTTTAAAAAAATCACAAACACAATCATAGTTATTCCAGATGTATGTGTATTTAATAATTTAATACAAATTAAAATGTCGTTTCATGCATTGTTGTTTTTTTTTTCTTTTTCTTTTTGTATAGAAACTTTCAAGGCACAGTGTGACAGCTACAGGTCAGTTCCTCTGTACCTTGATACAAGAATGCATGCAAGTTTGGGTTTCCCATGCCTGATTTTTGCTTTACACCTTAAGGCTGTAGATGGGTCTATCAAAATAGGACTTAATTCCATCTTCCATGAAAGCACGTTTTACTTGGGTTCTACACGCTACTCCTTGCTGATAAATTTAACTTAGGCATACGTGGTCACATTTCTGCCCAGTCCCAACAAACCACAGTGGTAATAAAAATAACTAACTTGAAAGAAAATCAATATCACAGTTTCATTTCTTTCAGTTCATGTGTTCTTGGATCTTTCAAAGAAGATAAAACAATCCTTTGGCATTAAAGTATTGTGAGATGTAAAAATAAAGTTCTCACTCTGAAATACTGCAAAACTAAGTTAAGTCATGGGAGTAGCTTAAATGGCTAGGAAGCAAGTGCACACCAGACTTCACAGCTTGGCTGGAAAACTCAGTAATAGAAATAAACAATTTCTAAAACATCCAGATTACAATACATTAACTGGATTTAACAGCAGGCTACTTCCACAAGCGTCTTCAAAGCTACGGTGAAGGGGTTGAAACAAAGCCAAGATATTCCTAGTACATTGTTTCATGAAGTGGAATCACAACGAAGCTTGACACGTACCTTGTTTGAAGGAGTTTCCAGGTATGGATTTGAAATTCTTCTGGACAGTGTCTGTAAGACAGTTTGGTAGAACTTTAGTTCAATATTTTTTATTTTTTTTTTAATACACTTATTTTAGCTGCTGAAATCTGAATAAGAATTTATCAAATCATTTGAATAATCTAACTGAAGTTTCAAACTAAGATGTTTGATATTAGGGAAATGGGTAGGTAAAGTCACTTCTGTATTTTTAGCTACATTTCTTCTCAATCTGGAAAAGAAAATGAGCAATAAAAAATTCTGTAGAAAAGATCCTATTATTTGGGTCAGAAATGGCCAGAAATGACAAGGAAGTGTTACAAGACAAACCTAAAAATCTCTAGGGTGAAAAGACCATCATGAAAGCAGTATGTAGCAGAAGAGGGAAAGTGTAATTATGTTTGCCCTAACATCTCTTCAAACAAACTTTATCAATTCAGTAACAACACCTCAGGGTCACAGAACTTCAAGGAATATCACTCTTCTTAAATTAAACTCTTAATTACATGAAAACACTGCCTTGTATAAGGATAAACGGGGAATCAAAAGGTGACTAAGAAGGAAGAAGCACTGCTGTAATACACACCAGCATTATCTCTGCCGTGCCACATGCTGCACTGGTAACAGCATCTCAGAAGATGATGCTCCAAAGTAAGAGGAGATTCTAACAATGATAGGAATAATGAAGGACTTGGATACATTATGAGATGAGATGAAAAAGAAAAGACTATGACCTTGCAAGGGAAAGATTACAGGAGAGATGCCATTATGCAAAATGATGAAACAGTGCAGAGAAAAGATAGAATTCCTGTTCTCTTTATTAATGTGATACATATAGTGTGAGAATAACAACTCATACAGTGAAATTAGAAAGGTTTCATATTTGCAAATACAGAAAGGAAATAGAAAATTAACTCTGTAAGAAAATGCAATTGCCAAAACCTTACTGCTGTTTAACAAGGATTGTGGATTGAAAGTTACAAAATTAAAAGTAGATTTTTAGGAGGCAAATAGGGATAAGCATCTATACTAGAGTCAGGTTATCTCATCCATAGTTGCCACATTACTTCCACATCTTGCCAGTGTTAAAAGACAAGATATTGCCTACTCCGCTGTTCACTGGCAATTTCTATCTCACTACAAGCTATACAACACACGAGCAAACACTGCCTAGAAGAAGCTGGAGCAAAAGCAACCGTGCAGGTGCACTGGCAGAACAATGATAGGACTGTGCAGTGCTTGCTTGCATTAGTCCAACTTGCAGACCAGGTAATCAATTCTTCACTTTGAGAAGGATCCAATTCACATGTGGGATGCTGTAAGCACAAGAAAATAATCCTTCTCACACTGTAAGAATTACAGAATCCATATTTCAGTACTACCATCTGCTTTCTCACCTCATATTTCTGGAAATGTATTCTTACAAAGGGAAGGGAAGCAACAAGGTATGACAGAAGTATCTGTTTACAATTCCATGCCCATCACAAATGTTAGCATAGTTCCATGCATAACAGCAGCTCCATACAGAAATACTACAACATAAGAGCTTCATTTCCCTCGCCTATACACAACAAATATGTTGTAAGACCACAACATTGCCTCCAGTCCCACTTAACCTTTCTAGCAGGCATGTCATTAACACCTCGATGCTGCAACAGCCTTACATACCAACAGTTCAATTGACTTGTGTCCAAGTGTTTCATTCAACAAACCTCCCTTACTACTGCAGCACAGCCCAAGTTTAGACATCGCTGTGCCCCTTCCCACTCAGTCCCCAGGATGACGTTAATGCCAGTATCATCAGAAAGCCAATTCCAGTGATGTTGGTGGGAGAGAACTCGCCTAATTCCAGGGAGACCAGCATTCCTCTTTTGGCAGGATGAATTTGGAGTTAGCTTGGCTCCTCAAACTGGATGGTTCTGTGAGGGAAATAGTGGCACTGGGAGAGTTAAGGACAAATGTGAAAGCAAAAGGGAAGGACAAGAACAGAAGACTAGAAGTACTGGGTTCAAATGGGAACATAAGAGCTGTAGGGGCAAACTCTAGTTTCATGAGGTGAAGTGAGTAAAGTCCTCCACCAGGCTTCCACTGCTGGCCTCATGCCTTCTGTGCCACTCATCTACCCTGTTAGACTCCAGCCCAGCTCACTAATGAGGGAGGAGCAACAAACTCAGAGAAAAACAGAGACTGGAAATAAAGTCACACTGTTAAGATGGATCTCAGAGGGTTGGGTGAGCTCCAAAGCCAGTGTAAGGCTTGATAGGAGAGTCAGTAGAGACGAGGAGGAGGACAGAGAAGAGCAGCACAATGTCCTCAGCCTGGCACCAGAAGCCTGATCAGTTCAAAGACAAATCTGTACAGGCACCAACACAGAGACACACGTTTGTCCAGCGATGCCCCACAGGGGCCTGCTGCAGCCCTCTGAAGGCTAATTTTGGATGGAGCTGGTACACTTGCACTTCAGCATCTCAAAACAGACAGAGAGCAAGAATAAGACACAGATTACCCCCCTTTCCAGTGTTTGCTGCCTTAGCCACCAAGGTCTTGCTAAGGCAGCACACCCCAGGGGACACTAATTGCATGCTGTGAAGTGAAAAAGCATGAGGCTGCAAAACTCTTTCAACTTACAGTGAAACATTCCTTTGGGCTGCACTTAACTAAACCCCACACATAACTGTACACACATAAAGTGAAAAAGAAGTAGGTTTAATGGCAGCATCTCTTTTTCTCCAGACTACAGAGGATCAGAGACATAAGGAAAATTGAACTCACAGTGCCCACTTTGGCACATACTCAGCTGTTAGATGATAGCTGAAGCTACAAATTACTTCCAAGGAATGTGTAAAAAGCCATTCAGGCTGAAAAGAAGTAATGCATAAAATGTTTCCAGTTTATCCTTCAAATCACACAGGGCTCAGGTGCCCGGCAGAGAGAAGTATTCACAGTCCTGAAGAATAGGAGGGCAGGACAGCATAACAGCTTCTTTTGGTGGTATCTGGAACTCAGATAAGCTCAGAGCAAGCATTAATCACAGCCTAAGAGAACATGCTTATGCATGCCAAGTAGGTATCTACCGACAGAACATTTCTGCAAATACAAGAAAATGGAACAGGACAAGGGGTAACGGCCGGAAACTGCAGCATAGGAAGTTCTGCACAAATGTGCGAAGGATCTTCTTTACAGTGAGGGTGACGGAGCACTGGAACAGGCTGCCAGGGAGGTTGTGGAGTCTCCTTCTCTGGAGATTCTCTGGAGAGTTCAAGACCTGCCTGGATGCCTACCTGTGCAACCTGCTGTAGGGAACCTGCTTTGGCAGGGGGGTTGGACTCGATGATCTCTGGAGGTCCCTTCCAACCCCTACAATTCTGTGATTCTGTGAAATTGCATATGAGAGCCACAAGCCCCCCCAAAAAAGTAGAAGCGGTATTCTGGAATAGAACAGAAAAAAAAATGATCTTTCTTATTGATGCTGAGGGGGATGTGCCACTCCTTTCTGAAGGTATTTGGTAAATACAAGCTGTTCTTCCCACTTCTACCACAAACAAATTCAAAATACATTTGTAAATAACTCCTGGAATGAGTCATAACATGCTTTTAAAGCAAATTCGTGTCATCAAGCAAACAACTCATCTGTACTGAAAACCACTTTGGAACAGCCGCTGCAGCCCACACCACAGCCCACGTTCCAGGCCCGGCTTCTCCCATGCCTCTGTGCCAGTCTGAAGAGGGGCTGTGCTAAGCCAAGAGGTGGGCAGAGAGTAGGCATTCCCATTCAACCTCAGGATGGGAAAGGAGCTCCCCCAGGGTACCAGGAGGGCTCTCCTATGACACACGAGTGGGGGATATGCCAGCATAAGGACATGCCTGCATGAGACAGAAGACAGCGGGGACAGGGCCCAGGAAGAGGTTCTGGAACAGCACTGCTAGAATTCAAATCTGTGTACACCACAGATAACACAGTCCAAAATTGGGAAGAACTACAAAGGATTTTACAGCAATATTTAAAACATCTAGAAACACAGGGAATAGAGCAGTGGTGTTAACAGAACAAATGGATTCAAGTAAAGTGACCAGAGATTAATTTAAGAAAAAACAAACAGAACACCCTTCTTTCCAATTCACAGGATCATTTCAAACACTCCAAGCTAGCCTTTTAAAAGCAGTAGCTAATTTAATGACTGATACTTTCGAGCAAGGTCTTTATCTGGGTTTAAATAAGTACTGCATCAACAGGACAATTATTTTTAAAAATCTTGGGAACCTCTCCCATTACTTAGCACGCAGAACTATTTGTGATAATATTTTAATATGAGAGCACAGTCTGATTTCTGAAAGGTTCAAAAACAAAGTTGCCCACAACATACCAGGCAACATGCAAGGTATACTAACGAGAGCGCTTTGGCCTTCTTTTGAAAGATCAAGCAAGATCTGAGTTAGTTTTTCACTTAGCAGAGCATTGAATTGGCTTTACTAAAGCAGTTCAATCTGCATTTACTAGAAAGTGGTTAACATTCTAACCAAGGGATAAGTACACTACAGAGGGTGTTCTCAGACATGCTTTCTGGAGATGCATTTATATTTTCTCCTAGTTTTCAGATCTTGGATTCTGATTTGGCTTCATCTCTGCTTCAGATAATGTTGCCTCCAGGTTGCTTGTGCTCTCCCTGCCCAAGCTGTTCCAACAACTGCTGATATTTCTGCCACTGCCAGCAGTGCAGTTGCATAGCATCAGTGATGCTCCATACATCTGCTAGCAATTTAATCTTCATCATGCTCAGAAAGACACAGAGCAACAGTGCTTGGAGCTCCAATTTAAGTGCTTTTCCCCCATGGGGATTTAGTACGGTGGCAGCAGCCAGCAACCTGTCTGCACTAGAAGTCACACTGCAACACCACAGAAGAGGCCTTAAAAATAATAGGGAAATAATAACTTCAGCTACAATATTCAAGTGTCTTGTTTTTCTTCTAAGAGCTTCAAGTATCTCTGTGTAGCTAGCAAGAAAAGAAAGCTTTGGCAAAAATAGGGAAGAATT